ATTCAGGGAGGCTATCATATCGGAACACTTGGAGACATCCCCAGATAAAAAAGGTGAAACAAGAGTGAAATATCGACCCCAGCGTGGCCTTTCGATACAGTGCATTGCAATCATTTTGTTACAACCCGCCCGCGCGCGCTGCATCCAATTAACAGCGGACTGGCCGCTAGCATTCCGGAAAAGGGGATAACTGTTTCCCTCACCAAGGTCAAAAATGCCTTAATTTAGCAGGTTCATCTAAAATTAATTTTTACGGGGAAGGCAGGGAGGCAAAAATCGAAGGGACGGCGTGCGTTGGCAGTAACAGCAATTTGCTTAATTGGTATTTGGTATTGCGCAAGTTCATGTCAAGATAGGACACGACCATATATAATTGCTTACCATATTGTTATATACAAAACTGCGTAGAAACAATTTACGCGAAATCCATACGACAAAATCTACATAATGGGAATTCCAACAGGCACTGAATCGTATGTGCTGCGGACCTGGTTGTAGGCAGATTGTAGGTTGGTTTACGGGTGTAAAAAAAAACAGTGTAAAAAATTCCCATAGACACTAGTGCTAAATGCCCATACTTCAAAACTCTTTCAAAAATACTCAGAACGCTCACAGGTATTTAAGCTGCACAGAAAAATGATGATCAACATGTCATCAATTTCTTTTCATTTTTGGTGGGAAATTCTCTCCCAAAGAATACAACCCCTATTTTCCCCAAAGCGGAACGGTAGCCATCTTGAAAAACGATCCCTCCACAACATGGCAAAATAGCGCCACTTTCGAGCCCAATTGTATCCAAAATGCTCAGAATTGGAAGCCCCGAGTCCGGGCCAGAGGTTCATTGCCATATCTCTTCAATTCCCCAATGTTATGGCTCTCGGAACTCTCTAATATAGAATATTTTGAGGGTATAACTTTTATTCATGAGCTAGGCGAATGGGTTTAGGCCTATTTATAGGTGTGCACCCTTTAAGCTTTTTTGCCGCCATGTAAATTTTATATTATGGCGCGCCTGATCAGTCATTGTTCATCGATATGCCTTTTGAACATTTGCAAGTGTATTTTCGAAGTTCAGAAGTTTGATTCAGTAGGCTTGTCGTATATTTCATATGCGCGGAATCGAAGCTACTGAATTTTATGGGACTTGATAGTTCAGCATACAATGTTAAAAGTTTAGCACAGAATTGTGTTCAGCTGCAGCGGGTTACCAGCGGAAATTTCATGCGTGATGCGTGCTGCTTATAATGACTGGTTTCCAGCGGTATTTTGACTCGGAAGAAAACAAATTGTTCTGAAATAAATAATAACCTCGAAATTAGCCAAAATAGTCTCGAAAACCATCATGTTTTTGATCAGTTTGATACACGTATAGGCCGCAACTACACACGTCATACATCATTAACTGCGTACAAAAATTTCATTCGGCCCTCTATTGTTACCGTGAAATTAAGAGAGGCGCCAAGGGTTGAGGTTGTCCCAAACTGTTTTTTATCTTTAGTTTTGAGAAGATTCACGGCACTCCATCACCCATAATGGCCCATAATTATGCGGCCTTAAGAAAGGCCCAACTTGGAAATTGACCCAACTAGGGCTGTATTGTTATTACCTTCAACCAGCGATGAAGCTAGCCATTCCTTGTTACAACTATTGATTGAAAGTAGATATTTTGCGAACCAGGAATACACATCTGTGATCGGGTCAGTGGTTGGACATCGGGGCGCCATACTTCGACCCAATTAGTAGGCATTATTAAAGTGGCACTGCGCTTGCGCACACGTCGCACGCGGGGCAGCGCTACATTTTAAGCGACGTCTATTGGTCAAAGGAGCGTTGGGCGCGCGTACAGGCTAGCCACACAATGCCAAGGTCATTAAAACAATTATCACTGCCCCTCCACAAGAAGACCAGCGTACTTTTCTGACACTGTTCTGATACACGGTCAAGGTTTTTAAAGAAGTTGTGGAATGCTGAAAGTCGTTTTGTTTGTTATATTTTTTTTTATTGTAGAGTAGACCCATATATATCATAACGACAAAGTCCCACTCTTTTGTAATGTGCGTTTAAATGTTTATAAAACTGAAATTCATCGAGTAATTTGTTGGTCGAAGAGCGCATAATTGAAATCAACAGTCGTCGGGTTCTTCGTAAAATGAGAAAAATCGTGACGTGATAAACAGGACTCGTTTATACTACGCTGCATCGGGGGTCCTGTTTATTACTTCACGATTTACTATGTTTGGTTTGCTGCCCCCAACGACGACTTTTACACAAATTGCACATTCGGGTCGAAACAGGACCTGAAAAACAGCTCTCAAAAGTACCTTTTGTACTCATTTCATGACAGACACAATAGTCGTTTTTATTTCATCACACCTTAGGCTACATATACCCGAAAAATGACGAAAATGTCTTCGAGCATTCCACAACCTCTTTAAGCTCTGGCAGGAGTTGTCACTTAGTCGTCGGTCGGTCGGTCGGTCGGTCTGTCTGTCTGTTCCCCAAAAATTGACGAAAGATATTTGACAAAAATTGACAAAATGCCATGCCGTGGTCATGATGATGCACTCTTGTCGAAAGGTTTCGGAAGACCGGCTTTGTATCGATCGGTGCGCATGCACGTCGATTTTGCATTATGAAGTGGACATTAATTCCCAAACCGGGGCGGAGTTTATTGTGCACTTGCGCTTGTTAAGATTAATGGGTATTTCATTATTGGGGAAAAGTACTTTCGACATCCTCATAGGCACACAACAGCTTTTAAAAAAGGAATTTTAATTGCATCAATGTAATGTTTGAGCTTAATATTTAGATTTTCTTGAATGAATTATCCATCGATCCCTGCCAAAGAATCCTTAGTAATTACTTTTGATAATTAAACACCTGTTATGCTTTAGTTATAACGCATTGGTTTAATTAGTTCTTCATTGTTCATCAGGATCGTCACCGGAAGGAAATGGAAATGAAATTATGTCACACCCGAGCACCTGATCGCCAGGCCAAATCTGATTAAAAATCCATGAATAATTAGACAAAAACCTTGACATTTTCACACACCCCAATTTCGTTTGACCGCAAGAATTCTGAGCTTATCGTCCTCACAATAGCTAATCCTTTTTAAAGCCTAGTTTCTATATCATGATGTCGGTAGAGATTGGTGGGGTTCAGTTGTTTATTTTTTTGTAGGGTTCGACACAGTTCTTGGTGGAGCCTAGCTAAAATTGAAACTATCATTCAAACTCTCAACTTGGTGAATTGAACACGTTGACAGCTTTGGCTGTCAGAGGAGGTTTTTGTCGTCCGATTTATATGACGTGACGTTGACTTGACACTCACGGAAATATACAGATAATATCTGAATAGCATGAACAATATGGCGGTATGCAGTGTGCTATGTGACCAAGGGCAGATCCAGAACCAAACTTGGGGGGGGGGGGCTCAAGAAGTGTTTTTAAGGGGGGGGGGGGGTGATTTAAGGGCCATGAAGTGCCAGAAGCAAATTCTGTGCAACTTTCTACTCCTCTTAAATGTCTAAAAATAAATTGACTTTCCTTTTGGTTAAGTTTATTGAAAAATGCACTTCTTTAAACGTTTCAAATTTGCCATGATTTTCCGGAAAACGGAGGGCGCTGTTGCTGTGATGTCATTTCAGGAAGACACTGTTCAGTTTTGGGGTTTTTTTTTCTGTTCAAAATCTGAACCCAAAAATTTGCTTGTTGAAACTATTTGTGAGAAATGTTTGCTCATTGGCTTACTGCCATGTACTGACGCAACAACGAATCACTAATGAAAAGACAATTAATGGCAGAGAAATATCCAAAATTCTGGCAAATTTGAGGTTACTGCCTGGAATGACATCACAGTTTTGCTCATGAATATGGAAATTACATTAGCATAACAAGCAAACAGGCAAAATACCCTTGAAAATGGCAAAACAATAACTGAAAAGAAGGTTAAATGGGACACAGAGGTGAATTCTCAATAATTGCATTAAAAATACATTGTATGGACCCTTAAAATCTAAAAGGTATGCGTAGCTTACGAGGGAGACGCAACGTTAGAAAATGAAATTATTGGGGGTGGGGTGGGGGAGGGACATGGCCCTCGTTGCCCCCCTCCTAGATCCGCCAATTCCTTTGTTCTTGCAAGTCCAACTGTGGACTGCGACTCCCCTCGATTTACATGAGGGTATACTCCCTAAAAGCAAATTTCAGTAATGGGCAAGTATTGCCTTTGTGTCACGAAACGTACATATACCAATGGGCTGATAATTATGTGAACGGTGTGTAATTGATTGATTGCAACCTGCGTTTTAATAACCTGTTCCATCGTTCAGCCTTTGTGGAGGATTTGGGCAGCTTTTCCCGAACTCTTCCGGTCAGCTTTTGAAGAAAATGAATGCTCATTAACACCAAACGATCACAATAAAAATCAAAGATGAAAAGAATTGAGGCGAAATCCGCTCTTCGACAAAAGATTGGTCTGGATACGAAAAATCAACCACGACACCCTCGTTCTCAAAATCTCATGGGCTAGCTTCGGTCCAAAAATTGGGCCACCGGTATAAAAAGGTTTGAAAGGAGCAATGTTCATAGCGATATTTGGCAAGGTATGCACCTCTAGAGTTGGAAAATGTGTGATAGCTTTGCAGTGTGAGTGGTGGCAGTTTTTTGGGTGTTATCCCTTTTTTTTTTCCAAAATGGCCGCCAATATGCTTGTTAACGGATTACTTATATGTGGTAACAAGCATGTTTCCAACGCCATTTTTTAAAAAGTGATAACGCCAAAAAAGCTGGCACCGCCGCAATGCTATCACATATTTTCCAACTACAGGGGTGAATACGTACCTTGCCAAAAATCACAGTGAGCATTACTCCCCTCATTTTGATACCGACTAAACCCCAGGCTGATGGCCTATCATGTTTTCTTTGATGTTTCTTTCCTTCTTTTTCCTGCGGTCCACATCGTCATAAATCATTTTTTATCCTCTTTTTTGTCCCCAGGTTGACGGGAACTGCAGTGCTGCACAGCTGAAAGATGGCGACACAATTACAGTGCATTTTGAGGTAACTATCAAAACCGAACAAATTTGTCTAAAACAATGTAAAAAAAAAATCACGTGCGGTTGGAAACCTAAGCATTTTTTATTGGATTCAGGTTATGATGATTAATCTTTATATGGTGTATACGTGATCACAATTCACACCTACTGAAGTTCACCTGCCTTACAATGTATAAATTTAGCAAATAACATTCATTAACATTCGCATAGTGCTAGTGCTATACAGGGTGAGTAAAAACCCATCCATGTCTTTATCATCCGCAACAGACTGGCCATGTGACGGGCCCTCGACCAATAGGAATGGTTAATCTGTCTTACATATCTTAGGTATTTATGAATGGTGTTTCTAAGTTAAATAGGCTAATCCCACTACCAAAGAATACTACAAGAAGCTGGTCTGGATAGATATTCTCATCTTGTCTTCTATTCTTACACTCCCACCACTTCATATTCAGTAGTAGATTTCCCTTTCGGCTCCTCGTAGTCATCTTCTTGGACATTACTCCCTGATGCAACTTCCTGGTAGTACGTGTGCTGTTCAGTAGATGTCCCTTGTTCTTCAAGTCCCATGTAGTCTCTGTTCTGCTCCTCCTTTGGCTGCAGCTCCATGTAAGGGTCTGCTTTTGGTGCACTGACTTCCTTCTCAATGGGACTCTTAAGATGCCGGTATTTGATGGTCAAGACGATGTTGATGATCACAGAGATTACGAAGAGGATGAGGCTGACAGCTAGTGCGGCAATCCAAGGAACGGGAGATGCTTGAGGGTCATGTCCGGTACATGTACATGGATCTTGTGGCTCTTCAGTGGGTTCAGACAAAGTGGACATCGGCTGCTCAACATGACTTGATTGTGTAGTTTGCTGTGGCTCAACAGTGCTTGATTGTGTAGTTTGCTGTGGCGTGCTTGGTGTTGATGTCATAGATCCTATCGTGATTGGTCCGATGAAACATGATTGGCGCATATCAGGGAATGATGATGAACTAATCCTACATTCAAAGCTTTGTCCACTATTACCCATGCCCACTTGTAGTTGCAGTGATGCAGTTGTTTCACTATTCAAAGTTAAAACTGTCCAGGAATATATACGACCCGATGTTATGGTCTGAACTTGCGCAGCTGGGTAACCTTCCTCGGTGATACAAGTCATGTTTATCGTCGTTCCTTCTTGTGCAGGGAATGATCCGTTAGGGGAACAGATTGGGTAGATGGCAGAGGGAAAGTAGAAAACTGACAGGTAGTAACTGCTTTGTGCTCGAGTTGTGGCACTGGCACTATCTGATTCTTTCAGACGACAGTCGTAATGTCCGGTATCGTATTTACTCAAGTTATAAATAGTTAGGATTTCAACCCTTTCTGTCTGAGGCTGACTAAGTAGTGTAACCGAGTATGTGGTTGAGTTGAGGCTCATCCCATTCCTTGCTATCTTGACATCATGATTCATAACAAGCCTCGACCATTCGATGACATTTCCCGTCTCCAGTCCATAAGCTCCACATCGCAGTTGCACCAATTCACCAGCTGTAGGATCACTTGGTGAATTTTTGGATAAAATCACACTCTGTCCGTTAACTCCATTGAGTGGACTGGTATCGAGTGTACACCAAACACACAACATGAACAGATACAGCAAGCAAGACACTCGATCCATGGTCAAAGCAGAATGGTTAACGAATCGAAGACGAGTTGTTTGTACTGAACTCCTCTGTCAAAATCACAGATAGAGCGGAATGTTTTGTACGTGCGTTTTGAAAGTTGTTGGGGAGAAATGTTGGTTTTGCAGTATACTGAATCCTATGCATTCAATCCGATCAGCAAATAACTATTTGTAGTTTCCGTGTTGAATTTGCCGTCTCAGGTATGACAGCATAAATGTACTCTGATAGAATATGTGCAGTGAACCCAGTAAAACACAGTCAACTGAGGCTATGTCCCTTACCAAAGCAAGTTTACTTGAATAGGGCTGTATAGACTCCGTGTTAGAGGGCGTCCTATACAAGTATTGGCCTACATCAACCTTGAAATAGTGGAGCAGATAGGGGAAATATTTGGGGAATTGTGCCTTTGAAGCAAAAATAATCGCGGCGCAAACTGGTTAAGCTTCAACAAGCGTCAACAAAGCGTAACTTTTAAGCTTGAAAATTATGTTCACAATATTCAGTGGGCTCCTAAGATTACTCAGTCTACAAGTATCACAGTAGTTAAAAGTATCTTAAAATGTGCAAATTTAAGCGAAAAAGTATGACATCAACAGTGCCTTTTTTCAGGCGAAACTTGCCGCCATCTTGTTTCTGGGGACATTGTACCATTGTGCATGCATAAAAGAGAAAACAAAGATAGCGGCCCCCAGTCACCGTAATTTTGTCGCCATAAAAATTTCGTTTTTAAATTTGATCCTGAATGTCTGACTGTAAATGTTGTGGTAGTTTTCCCTTTTAAAAGCAGTTTTCTTTCAAACTTAAACCTTAATACCTACATAAATTGTTCGATTGTAAAGCGCCTTGGAGCATTTTTTTTATGGATTCGGCGCATTGGGAACTTAACTTTCATGCAGGTGTCTGATTTACAATTGAAAGATTTGAGGATATGTACAAAGGTAGTCCAGGTAAAACAAGGAAAATAAGGGAAAATTACCAGGGGAATAACAAGGCTACGAGGGGAATAACAGCAAGGCTACCAGATGATGAGGAGTCGGTGTACAAATAGAAACCATTGATATCACTTAGTTTGAGTGTGAAAGGTAGCAGCACTTTGTACAATATAACGATTACAAAATGTTATCAAAGCGGTCATGATTGATTCGTAAAATTGCATGATTTCAATTTGACAAGAGTACATGTACATGCGAGGTACTTGAAATATTCAAATCAGCACAGCAACAATATTATGTCCAAACCAAAAAGATTCTGTACCAATAAACAGGGAACTTACAAATTGAAGAATCCGTATTCAGTGTACATAATGTAGAGTCAAAGTGAGGCAAAATACATGGGAAATACGCAATGCCAATCTTGACTAATTTTCTGCAATATGATGAACCAATAACGATCATGTACCTGCCAGAGAGTCAGTGACTGGTGGGTACCGTCTCAACAGCTCCAAAGCAAATGACCACAGATATGGATTACTGAAATAAAAGGACCAATGACACTAATAAATACGAGAACGTGTGAACATTTGTTATTTTTCACAAGAAAATCTACAGTTTGTAGGCCCCTACTATACAAATAACACCTTAAATAACCAACTTTGTGAAATGAGGTTATTTAGCATGCAGCAATGCGGATATTAATTAGCCACAATAATGCAATATTGGAGGCATCATATCGGCAATGTTCATATTGAAAATGCTCAAATACAGTCACTAAAACATACAATTTTACGTTACAAAATTAGTTTTGAAATTGAGCTCACCGGAAGGTACTTCTGCACAAACAGGGGCCGTCAGAAGCCAGATACAGCTGGGCGATGCATCATAATGGTATCAAAGAAATAGCAATGGTTGTAAAGGAAGGAAAAGTAATGTGGCTGAACTCAGGAAACGCAAAGAACGAAGAAAGAAAAGCGCTCTACGTCGATCCTTCTCTCAGGACGGCATGTGCAGGAATGACTGTCTTGAATTTCGCGCTGCACCACGCCCTGACGCTCCACTATAGCACAGGCATTACACTTGTTCGCCTGAACAATGCCAACAAAAATTCCTATTCCCAAATAAGGAGAGCCCCTGGAAGGGCGGTAGGTATTTAGGACTTTACAAGTTACTTGAAACTATTCAAACATTTGTATGTAAACAAATGAATTCGCAGCTCACGAATTCGGTTGGTTACAACAACAACCAGGGAATTTGCATGCACTGGACGCCCAACACCGGGGTTGAGCACCGCGGCAATGATAATTATGTTAATTACTGTGGTCACGAACTTATGTCTTGGCGAAGAAACATACTTCCAACCTCTACTCTATGGCCTGCATGTGTGTGTTCCTTCACTGAGATCGCGCAAGGCATGGTGGGAACCAACATGGCGTACGTAGCAAGATCGCACCCATGGGAACGAGGTTGACGCACTTCGCGTTTGAAGCTTCTTGATTGCGCATGCGTCAGAGGCGCCCTCAATCGAGAGTCATGGAAAAGCCTAAACAACTTTTCGCTCGTACCCACCGCCCTGCAAACAGGGCGCTGGGAACTTGGCTGATGAGCTTCACAAAATCTTGTGAAGGAAGTGGGGATGGCATTCTGGGTAATTTATCATGACCTATGTATAAAGCATCTGGCTGCAGCTGTTCAAGACCGCGGTTAGCCAATGCGCGCAAATGCTATCCGAAAACGTTCTCTTAGAAATGCATACATTCCGTACCGGATGTGATTTCTTTTTCATTGCGGACCATGTGGACAAATTTTGAGCGTCGAATAATATGCATTTACAAAACAGTTGAGTTTTACAGATTTTCCTACATTATTAAGCTTTTCAACGAAAACAACATTGATGAATGGGAATAAAAGAGTGATGACGCAGTCTTGACGGCTGTTTAAAAAACTTGCAAGGTCGTGGCCGTGATGACTTGCAGGTCACAGGTCACGTAAAATATATCCAATCAGAGCGTGAATTCATCATCCCTTCCCACATTTGTCCCAGCGTCCTGTTTGCAAGGGCGCGGTACTAACGAGAGTGAAAAACAACTTATCTCAGTGCCAGAGTATATCATTTTCAGTCAACGTTACCACGCAAAGCTCTTTGCGCTAGCCGTTTGACTATTGATTACTTTGATAGTTTATTTTTTTTTCTTGCAGGGGAGTTTTGATAACGGAACGATTTTCAACTCCTCATTTGGAAGCGACAAGCCTGTGAAATTTTTACTTGGCGATCCCACTCAAGCGATGAAAGGATGGCACATGGCACTGCAGGGCGCATGCGTCGGGTGAGTGACATTTGCTGACACGTGATGACTTTTATTTGCAAGAGCTGTTTGACTTTTCAACTCAGGCATTAGGGCCTACTCCTTTTAAGATAGTTTCCATGAGCTAATAGTGGGCAGAGATTTACTGTAATTTTTGAGGAAAACTGTATTAATTTGTATTCTTTTATATCTACCCAATGTTACCATAGTGACGACCTTCAAGTGAAAATTCCCTACTCTCTTGCATACGGCGAGGAGGGAAGGCCGCCCTCTATACCCCCTCGAACGGACCTGAACTACCGGATCCGAGTGCTGGCTATTGAAAAGGTCGCGCTTGCATCCACTGGAAACGGAACGGCGGACGTCTACATGAACGCCACCGATGATGGCGATGAGGATTACGGATACGAGGATGGGCCGGATGGAAAACCTTCGCCCTATGACCCCTCTAGCCTTTTGTTCAAGCTGCAGTTCCTGGCCATTCCTGTGGCTGTGATATTGTTCCTACTGGTCGCCTACTGCATTTACAGCATTGAGTATCCGGACAGGAAAATCAAGTTTTACCGAGTTGGCGACCACGAAACAGATGGAGGAATGAATCGAGTTCTCTGAGTCATTTTTTAGTAACAAAGCAGGCCCTTTATTTGTGTTAAAATAGATTTATTGAATTCGCTCATTCCCACTTCCTGAGGGCGCTTGTGGCAGTTAATCTCTTTCACCAAATCTTGCGAAGGTAATGTTGGCCTCGCAAAGCATTGTGTGTAGCATTTACTAAAAATTGTCACGATCAAATAATAGGCCTATCTAATGTTTGTAAACATTGAGCGCCATTTTGCATGGGCTGCCGCAAGCGATCAAATAATTTGTTAAGTATTCTTCATTTTTGCAGTGTTGGGCCTTCCATAGTTTGGCAACCCGTGGTTGGCAAAATGTGCCAACCCAGCGTCGGCGTTTATGTACACTCCGCGCGCGCGTCACACGCGCTTGCGTAGTTGTAGACCCCGGGTCACCCAGTGAACAGCATCTGTCCAATGAGAGGTCAGAGAGTTAAGGGTCACAGCGTCTGTGTGGGTACGGTGTGGTGGGTATAATCGAAAACGGTAGCCAGAGGGTTAGTGGTCTTTGGCCAACAAACAGCGAATTAATTTGACCATTTTGTTGTATTCATAAAAATGAGGATTTGCGGTATTTGTTAGGTATAGGCCTATGACTCTCTAGACCAAACATTATACTATACAAGACAGTTATATAGAAACGTAAACCATAAACTGAAGAAATAGATTTCAGTGTTTTTTTGGGGCGTTGTTAAAATCCTTTAAAACTAAATTTGATATTTGTTGTGTGGTTGGGAGTTAACTGTCGACCCGTGCCATGCTGCTTATTTACACACGCTTAGTCTTGTTGTTTACTTATAATTGTTTGTTTGTTTGACTCATTTTTATGAACACCTCTGTCAATCGAGTAATAAAAACAATTCAAGTACTAAAATTTATCAACAAAAGATACATCCCTTTTTGTATTGATTTTACAGCAGTACGGATATTTAAGTTCGTATACATAAAAAAAACTGAAGATAAAATTTTCAATCACTTTGTTATAGTAATTGTTTTCGTGGTTTTTTTTTTACCTAATAGAATATAATTGTTTCACAACTGTTTCCCTTTTCCATTTCTAAAAACTTATGGTTGATCCATTTATGCTGTCTCTGGCCTGACTGTAAAGTTAAATTATTAATCTACTGGGTGAGTCGAAAAAAGCGAAACCCAAATGTCGGGACTATTGTGAAGTTCTGCATGTAGTACTTTGAAAATCTAGGAGATGAAAGCCCAATTCATAAGCTTTCTTTTAGTAGAAGAATCATTCAAATCACTTATTTACTTTTCAAGTTACGGAATTTTAAACACAACCACCGTTTTAAAGTTCTGTCCACGGATCACCAAAAAAGGTGCGCATTCTTTCAGCAAAACGAAAACAATTCACACACATCTCTATGTGATTTGTTTTCGTTTTGCTGAAAGAACACTTACCTTCTCAGTGATCCGTGGACAGAACTTTCAAACGGTGGTTGTATTTAAAATGCCGTAACTCGAAAAGTACATAAGTGATTTGAATGATTCTTGTACTAAGAGAAAGGCTATGAATGAAGCTTTTGTACTCTAGATTTTTAAAGGGCTACATGCAGAACTTCACTAAAACAATGGTCCCGACATTTGGGTTTTGCTTTTTTGACTCACCCTAGCATTTTTATACAAGCTTGAATAAAGGAATAACGTGCAGTAGTAATACAATTTTAATTAAGTACAATCCGAAATTATTCAATACAAAACCTACTCAACCATGGAAACTGTCGCTAAAGCATTATATACAGTTTTAATTTACTTTTAAGTTACCTAAGACGCTTTTAAGGTCCCTAATAATGAGGACCTGTACATGAAGTGAACTTGTGTTACAAAATGGTGATAGTTTTAGAATTTGTATAATTTGTGTTTTGAATATAAAACAGCAATAAAAAATGTCCTCGTTTTTATCTAGTAACTTGTCGATCTTCTTTATCTGTATTATATCCTACATATAGATTTCCTGCGTATTTAAATTGAAAGATTTTAGGTGTTCAAAATACTATTGTTTCCCCTGCCCTGATAAGTGGCATGAATCTGTAATCATGAAATTCTGATACTGAAAAAAATATGCTGTGGTCCAATGGTTACGGTGTTCGACTAGTGTGCCGTGGTACATGGGTTCGAACCCTGGCGGGGAACATGGTGCTTGTGTTCTTGGGCAAGGCACTTTACTACGATTGCCTCTCTCCACCCAGGAGTATAAATGGATACATGTTACGGTAGAGACCAAAATTGCGCTGATCTGGAGCTGCTGCAGAAAAAGTGGTCTCATTCCTGATGAACAGGGATAATAATTGTGATGCGCAGTTGATTATATTCATGTAGCCTAATTTGCGCAGATTGCGCAATATAACAGGGATAATAACTGTGATGCACATGTGATTATATTTATGTAGCCCAGTATTTTGCGCAAATCGCGCAATATAAGTGTTTAAATTATTAATTGTTATTTTGAAAAAGCGAGAAGAAAAACTTGTACAGGATCGTTATTTGACGATGTGAAAAATTGAGGGCGCATCTGTATGTAAGGGTTGAACCAGTTTTAGCTTGTTGCAGACTTCTTGTTTCCATAAATGGATTTACACATCTGTTACGGTGGAGGACAGTGTCTTTTCCACGTTTCTCATCCCGCCATTGGCGTCCGATTTGCCATTCGCAGTGGCCACTTCATCATTGTCGATCGCTTGCTCGTACTTGCTTGCCTGAAATGAACAAAAAATGCATCACACAGTTTAACACAGAACAAGACATTTTGGGGCCTACATGGTGTTAAACGGTGTTTGTGTTTAAAAGTCCACAACTGGAAAAGTACATGAGCGATTTGATTGATTCTTTTACTAAAAGAAAGCTCATTACTTGGGCTTTCCCGTCCTAGATCTTGAATGCGCTGCATGCAGAATTCTTCAAAGACAGGGGGCGCAATATGAGTTTCCTTTTTATAAGTGTCAGTTATCATGGTTATGACAATGTTCTGATGGGTTTTTTTTATTTGTGAATACGGGCGATTCACAATAGTGCGCCTCCAAGAGTTTGCAACGCGTTGGCCAATCACAATGCGCGAAATCTGTCGACCCAATGCGTGTTTGGAAAAGGTCGACTGATTTTGCGCATTGTGATTGGCCAACGCGTTGCAAACTCTTGGAGGCGCACTATTGTGAATCGCCCGTATTCACAAATAAAAAAACCCATCAGAACATTGTCATAACCATGATAACTGGCACTTATCATAACCTTCATTTAAAAACCTTCTGCTTCCAATGTTAAAACAGCATACTTTATAATATCAAGAATGTATAGTCCTACTCTGCCTTTTACTTGGCTACCCCGGAGACTTCTGATATCGTTTTCATGATACGACATGGTTTCATTTTACTGAAATATCACGTCCATGTACCTTAAACATGGACAAACATATAAAACGGGTAATTGTGTTCAAAACATCATAACAAGAAAAGTACATGAGTGATTTGAATGATTGTTTCGCTAAAAGAAAGCTTATTAATTGAGCTTTCACATCCTAGATCTGGAAAGTGCTACATGCAGAATTTCCTAAAAAAAAATAGAGGGCGCCATGTGGGTTTCCTGTTCTTACTCACCCTGTAGATCCAAACCGCATCATCTGGGAAGCTCAGTGCATTCAAACCAAACTTTGTGCAATGTATCATTGTGTGCGCTCTTAATAAATCACTCTTGTATAAAACATTATACAGGCTAACCTTGAAACACTTTGCTAACTTAGTTGTTGAATCTTGAATTTATAACCAAATTATCTCTTAAAAAATATTGCTCTTCAAGATACAAGTGCTAGGAGTGCTACTATACGGATTCAAATCAAACCTGTGCACCATTTTATCACTCATATCCCTTTAATAACTTCACACTTCATCGCTTTCGCTTCTTCTACATAAGTGTTAACCTCAGAGTTTAGGCATTCTCCTGAAGACGGTCAGAGCATACTGACCGGAACGTCGAGTTTATACCTCTGGTTCTTTTCAGAACCATTCTCTTAGTTGAGAAATTATTCGCACATGGTGTTTCCGCAAACCTTTCATTATTTAGTATCTCCACCATGCGAAGCCTCAAATCTTACTCATATCCCTTACCCTGTAAATGAAGAACGCGCCGATGCAGAAGAACAAGCTAGCTAGGAGCCTGAAGCCAGCCGCGAAGCCGGTGAAGACGAACCTAAGCCCCGGCCGGTCGTACTCCAGACATTCTCCCGTAGCATCGCACGATTCCTGCCAGTAGGAGCACTGACTCTCGAGGCCCGCACCCAGAATGATAGGGGCCGGTATGAAACCTGTGGATTTGGAGTACAGAGAGTGTTAGGTGAAGTTACCATGACGCCATCTTAGGACACCCTTTAGCATTGCACGATTCTTGCCAGTAGGAGCACTGAATATCGATGCCCGAACCCAAAGGTTGCGTTTGAGCGTGTTAACTCGTGTTAACATGACGAGTACGACCCGCGGGTTGGAAAGAGTATACCCTCGGTCATACCGGGAGTATACTCCTGCACAGAGAACGCACGCAACATTTTCTTACACTCGATCGGGAGTAGCAAGAGTAACACGCTCGAACGCATGACAGGGGCCGGTGAAACGTACTGAAGATGTGAAGTACAGATCTTACAGATGTGTTGGGTAAAAGTATCTTTTCTTTATTTACAAAGGCCTATATTGACCGGATACCGCGGCGAGACCGCAGGATGAAGCCACAACGGGGGGCCATCTTGGGGCCCCGAAATGTCTACAATTCCTGAACGTCAAATCTTGATCCGTGTCTTCCGGGTTGCATGTTGCACGCGGCGGCCACATTGGGAGTTCCATAAAGTGAAACATGGCAGCTTCACTTGAGAGCATGATAAAGCCACACATTTCGTACTTATTTCCTTCGTGCAAATGTTAGTAAACGTGGGATCGAAAATGAAATATCTTACCGAGTATTTTACTGAAAAGGGATGTCAGTCCTAGTGACAGGTCTCTGTCCTTGTCTAAAACAGACCTAGAAGACAAAAACATTTGAAATGAAATTGTTTTTCTTCTTTAATTGGGTTAAGAGGTCTAGCTTAGGTTTGGCACACTGTGCCGTCGCGGGGGGGGGGGGGGGGGGGCGCCTGCCCCGACCCCTAACCCCCGGGAAAAGCAACCCAAAAAACCACCAAAAAACAAACAAAACAAAACAAAACAAAAAAAGCCACAAACCATGTGCAAGTCATATTGCTATTAATTTAATGCACATTTAACGACATGGGCGTCCGCAGGGACGAATAGGATACTGTGCTGCATAAAGGATAAATATTGTGCCATAGGTGAGTTTTTGCTTGAACGGAAAGTTAAAATTTCGGCAACAAAACTCGTAAACCTCCTCCTTCTAATTCTGGCTTTTCCTTTGACTCTACTTTCGCCAGATCATGTCCGAATGTTAAAAAAAAGGGCGATAAGTAGGGTCAAAGATACTTGGACTATAGGTCCGGAGACGCAAAATGGAGAAAAAAATCTGAAAAGTTGCCTTAATTTTTGCTTATTTATAATAAAAATACTTTTACAAGCGGGAGGGAGTGTTGTTGATCAAGTTGTAAAATGAACTTGACTAAAACAGTTTCTCAAAGCCCGTCTGAATAGATCACTGGATAAGATATGTATTCCAAACTGCAATACTCACCGGAACTTCATCATGAACGTGGGGTTAAACGACATGGATGAGAGTGCCGTGGTGACACCTAGGATGATGATGAATGGAAGCAAGAGGTCACAGTTCGACGCGCATGCGCCTTGGAATGCAGAACCGGAAGCTGGCTCGTTCAGAGAACTATGCCCAGTTTGGTTGATGCAAGTGCAGCCTTCGTAAATCTATTAGAACCAATTCAAATTAATAGCCCGTAAGCTTTTCATGACTGAAATCCATCTTTAAACTACTAATTTTCTTTCAAAACTTTCAGTGCATATATCTTTGGTGATTATTCTATTCACCGTACTTTTATATAGGAGTCATTCCCATTAAACTTTAAGGATAAATTTGGGACATGTTTATCCCAAATAGTAGGCTCTTTGCATGTATCGGGTAATAGTCGCCGAATTATCAGCATTTTTCTTCAGCGGACTGGAGATTCTGGGGTGGGGATATTGTTTAGAATCCTGCAACTTATAGGCCCACCCGATCGACTTACTGCGGATAAACATGCCCGTAACTACAGAGTGGTCCCCCAAAAATGTACACTTTTTCAGAGGCATATTTGTCAAAATTTTGGAATCATGTTGAAATTGTTTTAAGATACTCCTAAACTACAAGATCTTGGTGGTATATAGTGAAAACGGCGTTGAGAATAAAGGTCAAGTTAAGAAATAGCGGCCATTTACTGAACAAATGGTCAAAAACTAGTTTGTCCACACATAAGTCTACGTCAGTCATGCATGCTTTGTGCACGCACGGTAGACCATTATTTCATGGACTTGTATGTGGACAAACTGGTTTTTTTTACCATCTTTCTTTAAACCATCGCCATTTCTTAATTTAGGCTTTACTTTCAGCGCCATTTTCACTATATATGTATACAGCGGAGATGCTATGGTTAAGGTATTATCTTAAAACGATTTGAACGTGTCATGCCAATTCCCAGAAATCTGCCAAAAAGAAAAGTGTAAACTTTTCTTTTTGGACCACTCTGGATCTTATATAGTCTGATATGATGACTCCTCAATGAAATACTGTTTTGTGTACCTCTCGATTCATAACTATTTGGTAATTCCTTTTTTACTTCTTCCAAAGTACTTACCGTTATATCATCTTCATCTTTGCCTACTGCCTTGCAGCCCGCGAAGCAAGCCGTTACGTATGTGATGTTGTCAGAGCCACACACGGGAGAATACACGCCCTTCTCGCAAGAACAATCCATGTTGCAAGATGAGAAGACATCCAAACTACCACAAAGCGAGGGAAAAGAAAGAATTGCCGTTGTAGTGAAATAACGATAATTTTACTGAAACTTCCGTCAAATATACTGAACTTGTATTCACGAATGAATTGTATCAAAGAAGTTTTGGAGTATGATTTATGGAGATTCGATCTGCCAGCGAACCTCGATGGTCGGTGGTAAGAAGTTTGTTCGAGTCCCACCCGGGTGATTTATACAGGGTGAGTAAAACAACGAAACCCAAATGTCGGGACCATTGTTTTAGTGAAGTTCTGATGGAGCACTTTAAAAATCTAGGATATGAAAGCCCAATTCTTAAGCTTTCTTTTAGTATAAGAATCATTCAAATCACTTAAGTACTTTTAAAGTTACGGAGATTTAAACAGAAACCACCGTTTTAAGGTTCTGTCCACGGATCACAAAAAGTTCAGTGTTCTTTCAGCAAAACGAAAAAATCACATAAGGATGTGTGTGAATTGTTTTCGTTTTGCTGAAAGAACGCACACTTTTTTGTGATCCGTGTAGTGGACAAAACTTTAAAACGGTGGATGTGTTTAAAACTCCGTAAATTGACAAGTACAAAAGCAATTTGCATGATTCTTGTACTAAAAAGAAAGCTTATGAATTGGGCTTTTATGTCCTACATTTTGAAAGTGCTACATGCAGAACTTCACTAAAATAATGGTCCCGACATTTGGGTTTCGTTTTGTTTGACTCACCCTGTAGAAGGAACAGCCAAGGCTGACGTGGAGCAATTCGATCATGCACTTGAGGGTTGTAGTGTACAGGGTGAGTAAAAAAAAAGCGGAACCCAAAACCCAAACAATAGGCCTATATTTAATATTTAAAAAATACAAAGCGCCAAAATAATAACGACTGGAAAGCCAATTTCATAAGCTATTGTTAGATGAAAAAAAATACTGAAATTGCTCAATCCGTTCCAAGAATATCACCATTTAAGGGCAATGATACTAAAACCTGTTTGTTAAAATCCACTGTTTTTAAAAGACGGGCCTTCAAAAGGACTATGTGGAATATTTTTAACGTTTAAACTGAGGTTTTATCGCTGGTGATGTTTGAAGACAATTGTGACGACGATTCTTAAAATCGCACGCTTTGGACGAAAGAGGTTTTTATAGGGGCATTGTGTTTAAATGGTGATATTCTTTGAATGGATTGAGCAATTTCAGTATTTTTTTTTTTATCTCAAAGTAGCTCATTAAATTGGCTTTCCAGTCGTAATTATTTTTGGTGCCACATATTTTTTTTAATATGAAATATAATTTTTGGGGTTTAGGTTCCACTGTTTTGACTCATCCTGTATTTACAAAACACAGAACTAAATATCTGCTTTGGATAACTTAAAAGTTCTCACTTTTTGTAATGCAGCCATGATTGATACATTCTTCTAATAAAAGTGTGTGTATTTTCGCTCAAGAAACTCAAAGGAGTTAAGGGGCAACCATATTAACTCTGTGAAATCTCACTTGTTTCCAGTCACGTGACCACCGGCGCCATATTGAGTTGTCAGTCCGGCAATATCGATGTTGGGGCATCCCAGGGCCATCATGCTGCCATACCCTAACACGCACAGAACTTGGACACCAATGGTGAGTTTGGCATAACCCCGCTGGCTCCCTGCCGCCCGCGAAGACACTACACCTCCAAGCATGATACCGATCAGGGAACCAGGCATAACAGTAAATCCTGAGTATAGAGAAAAAACGGGGGTTTTCTCAAACATCGGCTTCGTTATTATTGATTCGGCTTCAGATTTTTTTTTTTGATCTGTGAATCGGGAGACTTTAGCTCAATATAGATTGATTGCATATTCATCAGCCATACGGCAAATGGTTCATTGTGCGTAACTGGCCCAGGCCCAGTCAGACCGATATACAGACCCACTCACGGCTACAATCCCGGCCAAAATGGTTGGGACACTTCCTGAGTCTGCCACGGTCACCAACTCCCCCGCTCCCCCGGTCAATGTTGTTCTCTTCAGCTGATGGAGCACACACCGCGCAATGAGAGACAACATTGAGCGGGGGCCGGGGGGTTGGGGGCCCAGCGAGATTTGGCCAGGATTGTAGCTGTTAAATGTGTTAGTCCGGACAGAGAAAAAATCAGGAAACTTTGATTTCTCTGCAAGCCAATCAACCATTTCCAACTGAAAGTATTGATAATATAATAAGGCCTTGGTAAGTCAAGCTATACCATTTTTTTTCGAGTACTGCTATTCGAGTACGAATACTTTGCTGCCGAGTACGAGTACTCTAAAAATAAAGTACTCGAGTAGTACTCGAGTACATACAAGTACCGAGTACGAGTACTACAACATTGTAAATATGGGTGTTCTTTAAAGCTTAGGAAAGGTGTGATGGAGTCAGTCACAAGTCATCACAAGTCAATCTCAAGTCGTCTAGTCCCTCAACTCACAAGCTATTTAAATGAAGTGTGACACAGGCATTTCTTTGTCATTGTTAGAACGGGGTGTACCCGATGTTTCCCAATACCTATGCTCCCCAATAACTATGTTCCCCAAAATCGTATAGGGAAACATAGGTATGCACCCATAACAACTCTTAAAGATATAGTCCATCAGTTGTAATTTGTGCATTTTGTTCGTTTGAAGCAACAAAAGTGCTCAAAATCTAAAGAAGGGTACTGAACAACTAATCCGATGAAGTTTCAGCTCAGCTTCAGCTGTATATTCCGAGAAAAGCAGCAATCTATGATCTCAATTTCAAATCAAAAGTTGCTGAATCATGTTTTAAATTGGGCCTGAATTTCAGCGTCCGAGACATGTTCTCACTGAGCCGATTGCAGCGCGATGTTGCGCACCGATCCGACGAATTATAGCAATCGCGCGTGTGTGCGTCGTGCCAATGCTTGCGCGCACTTCGCCTATTGAAAAAAACGAACTACTAACGGAAATTTCCAACGGTGCGTCTTAAAAGACGCACCGTTGGAAAGGCCTTCTTTCGTTGATTACTTCAAAATGACAGCTTGCCAGAAAGAATAATTTCACAGGGAGTTAAGTCGCCTTACTATCTTTCAACCAAGTATGTTTTTCAACAATAATTACGCCAGTTACTTTTCGGATAGCTGCAAATGATGGACTATAGCTTTAAAGCTAGCTTTCGTCTCTTTCAAAACATATTGCCAAATTCAAGTTTGGATTCCACCTACTTCAAAGAAAGTGAAGAAGGAGCCGGAAAAAAGTTAAGTTTGGGGAAGATAAAACCCATACACAGAATATACAGCGGCTGTGAAAACATATAGCCTATAATGGGAGCTTTAACTTACCTAATAAAAGCCCAGCCCTCACTGGACTTATTCCAAACTGGTACTGCATGTACTTCGCGCAGAAAAACCCGAAACCGGAAAAGGCAATCACCAGCATGCAGTAGCCCATCAGAGAGGTCATGAAGATGGGATTGGTGAGAAGACGCCACAGTGACGCCACAAATTCTGGAAAAGAGAGAATCTATTGTGAAAAAAGGCAAACGAAATAGACAAAGGTAAACGGTATCACAACCTTTGATACTTTTTAAAAATTGTTTTTTAGGGTTTTTATAGTTTTTGTGCAATATTATTATTATCATTATCCAAAAAAAAAACCCGTGTGTGTGCTTTCAGCAAAACGAAAACAATTCACACACATCGCTATGTGATTTGTACTACCTTCTTGTGATGGACAGAACATTAAAACACATGTTTTTTTATAACTTGAAAATTACATGTTTTTTTATAACTTGAGAATGCTCGAAGACATTTCCGTTATTTTTCGGGTATATGTAGCCTAAGGTGTGATGAAATAAAAACGACTATTGTGTCTGTCATGAAATGAGTACAAAAGGTACTTTTGAGAGCCGTTTTTCAGGTCCTGTTTCGACCCGAACGTGCAATTTGTGAAAAAGTCGTCGCTGGGGGCAGCAAACAAAACATAGTAAATCGTGACGTAATAAACAGGACTCGTTTATACTACGCTGCATCGGGAAATACTCGCATAAATGGTGAAGAATCCTTTAAAAAAAACCTGGATCCAGACCCAGATTCGGATCACTTCCAAAATCTAATCGATTTGTACTTGTAGCAACGACCTCCCCTAAAATTTGTTTCGTGCAAATCCGTCCATAACTTTTGAGTTATCCTGTTAACAGACAAACCAACCAACCAACCAACCAACCAACCAACACAATCCGATGAAAACATAACCTCCTTGACGGAGAAATATGTTAAAGAATAGATGCCAGTTACCTTTTAAGGCAACAAGTATCGGTTGTCCCTCATGCTTCTTGTGATGTGTAGCTATTTGTGCCATAGCCACGCCCCCTTCGCCCCGCCCACCTCTCCCTGGCCCTCGTCCAATCATTGTTTTGCAGCAGTCAGGCATATGGAGGCCGAAAAAGTACGTTTTCGGTTTGCGGAGCTTCCGCGGGAAGAAGAAGAAAGGGACGGCGATCAGGCACAGCAAACAGCCGTAGATGATGAAGCCCAGCCACCAGGCGCCTTGCCATTGAGGATCCCGGGGGGTGAGACCGAGCTCCGAGACGTCGGTCTTGTAGAAGTCCACGAAGAGCGACAGGCAATAGCCGCTGATCGCGAATCCAAACAGGGGAGTAATTGCCATTGGCAGAAACATCAGAGCTGTTGAAAAATCAGCCGTAGGGAGCTGTTAGAGTATTTTGAGCTACATGTGGAGGAGAAAATTTCAATTGCATTATATAGGCCTAATGGTAAGGTTTTACAAAATTATCGGGAATCCCACACAGCTGAAATACCCGAACCCCCTTTTAATTAAAATAAATAAAGAAGCTAGTCCCGAGCGCACAAAATTCAATTAAATTAAATCTGAATGATTATTGGTGTATACTTTGGCCAAGTTGAGCCCATTTTTGGCGTTAGAAGGTAATTCTTTACGTTAGCACTGCCTGGTTCACTAAAGTGACAGCCAGTTAGTCGGTTTGTTGGTCATTCGGGGAGTCGGCCAGTCAGTCAGTCAGTCGGTCAGTAGTTGGTCAGTTGGTCGGGGAGTCAGTCAGTCGGTCAGTCGTTCGGGGAGTCGGTCAGTCGGGGAGTCAGTCTGTCGGTCAGTCCGTCAGTCAGTCGGGGAGTCGGCCAGTCAGTCAATCGGTCAGTAAAGCCTCTCAGACTAGCAAAATACCCATATAGATTGGTAGAATGGCCTTCTCCACCGCGTCATCGACGTACGTCACCGACAGCGGTATGATGGCGGAGGTTCCGACCCCAGACAGCAACTGGCCCAATATGATGGGCCACGTCTTTGCGAGTTGGGAACCAGACGCTTCGATTTCCTCGGCTGTGCACGGTGTTGCGTTCGCCTGAGCATTGCAGGTGAAATCTGAATACAAAAGTTTGAAAACCGCACGGGCAATTACCTTTGAATACTTGGTCTTTGTAAACTGTCAGTGCACAATCATGTAAAAAAGGTCACGGGGCGATTCAGGAATGCTAGAATAGTCCCGGGCTGGATTTGACCGTAATCTGGGTCCTATGGGGCCTGATAAATTTCCAGGTCAAAATAACACCTCTCGGGTCAAATCGACAATTCTGTGACTCGTTAGTCGGTGTTATTGATTCCAAAATTCCTTCTTAGTACAGGGTGTATAAAAAAAGGAAACCCAGATGTAAATGTAAATTATAAAAAACCTCAACAAAATATTTCTCAAATAAGTTAAAAATCATTTGAAATACCAATGTGCCCTCTTTCCAATGATACCTTGATTGTGTGTCTACAGCCACGGATTATAGCGCATTTCTTTGTTTTTTTCGTCAAGGGTCAAAACCTGTACTGGACCAGTTTGTGTGAAAGGGTAACTGGTATTTTGGGCATGTGGAACGGTTTTATATTACGAAAGAAGACATCCTTTTCAATGAAACAATTTATTCAATTTTGACACAGTAAACCACTCTCATTGTCGAAGGGATTGTCCCTCATGGCCCAATGCCTTCAACGTGGCCACCACCGCTCTGCTCTGCACGTACATTTCAACCTTTACACAGTCTATTTCAACTTTGCATAACAAACAAGCCATCAATCTCAGTCAGGTAAAACCTGGCCCAGTACGGGTTTTGACCCTTGACAGAATAACAATGAATGCTCAGTCATCAGTGGCACAGACACATAATCAAGGTACCATTGGACGGATGACACATTGGTGTTTCACATGATCATTAACTTATTTGAAAATATTGATTAGATTTGTTAAAGTTTCCATTTACATCTGGGTTTCCCTTACAAAATTATGTACATATTATTTTCCAGTTTTTTACCTTTTAAATAATTGAATTTGGCTACAACATTCACGTACCCTTTTCGTAGAGCAATGTTCCAGCATTCTGCTCTGATTGGTTAACATTGGTGACGAAAATTTCGTCAAGGGCCGGGTTGTCGTAGATGAACTGAGGCAGCGCATTCAAGAACGATCCCAGGGCGACCAGCAGGCATGATATGCCGATGATTCTCGGCCGATGTGATCTAGAGAATATCGACGTAGTGAGTACATAATCGATTTTAGATTTTAACATCGCTGTGATCACTTTCCGTTTTACGACGTTAACCCTATGGTTAGACAAAAACGGTATACATGTAGTATTAAAACAAGTAACTCAACTCGATCTTCTTGACCTAATGACTCGACTCGACTCGAGTCACTTCCTTAAAATGACTCAACTCGAGTCACAAAATTCAGTGACTCGTTACAACTCTGCGTCATATCACCAGTGACCATATCATAACCACTCACCACCCCGACCCATACACATCCATCAACAAGCAGTACATGTGACTAGCAACCACCAGATATTCACATGCCTGGACCCAATTTCAGTTGCTAAGAATACAATTTTCCAAAGCAAACTTCGGTACTAAGCAAAATTGAGCTGTGAAACCAGTCACCAGTAATTATTCTATGCTTACCTTCCTCCAAAGTGTGCCACAAACAGGACCCCGCTCAACGAAGAGACGTCGTTAAAGGACAACAGGAGAGCAGACTCCGAGCTCTTCAACTGAAACCTCTTCTCGATGGTCGAGATGACACCAGCCACGTACACTCCATTCGCTCCGATGGTAGACATAAACATGAGACCAACGAGGAGTACGTACGCATTTGGATGTGCGAATACCTGGAGGCAACGGCACCTTAGGGCGCCGAGACCACACTGCGCGTGCGCGTCCTCCTTGTCGTCAAGGACGTCCTCCATGATGACGTTGTCGAAGTTGCCATTTTGTTCTTGAGTTGGAAGCTCCTGGTATTTTGGATCCAAAGAACCATTTCTGTCCTTCGTCTGCGACATTTTGACTAGTCAGCGACGCAGTGTTCCACTATTTGAAAATATATGAACTTTGAACGAGTTTTACAACTGAATTGGAAAATGCCAACAGCTACAGCTACAGCTAAAGACCTACAACAAAAACCGCTCTTTTGTCGTGCCTGACATCGTCACAGTTAAAATGTCTGTAACAGTTGATGCCACATCGTGAAATGTAAACTTTGCACCGATAATCCCACCCCGAAAAAACCTCTGAACAGTTTATAATCTGTTTATACAATGACTTAGGGCACAACCGACCTAGTTTATCAGTTTATTCAAGGATGTCTGATAATGTTTGGAGATTCCCTCAGTAGCTGGAACAATCTTAAAATAATCAAATCAAATGTTTATTTTGCCGTGAAATGCAAACGCAAATAATGGTCGTGTTGCACAAGCTGTTGTTCTTTGAATTAAAGGGCATTACCACATGGAAAGCGTCCACTCGGGCTACAAACCCATTTAAACGAAATGATGTTAATCGGAAAGAGCATTTAAAAGTAGTACATGAAACGTCCACACAACCATCCTTTAAAAGCTGGGCGTTTTTTTAGTGTTATTCTTGCGAGAACGAACTTCGGGGGTCAAAATATTGTCTCTCCAAAACCGAACTGTTTTGTTGCTAGTCGTGAATCATGCTGCACATGTTCCACCAGTGCATCGCATTCTGCGGACGTGCGCGAAGCACGTATCGGTGCTGTGTATACGTGTTCTACATAACCCCCGAGGACCGACACACAAAGGGAGAACAACAGATCCTTTCAGTCCTCGGAAGTTGGGTCTTTTCTTGGAAACGGTCCTCTGTAGTAAGATTGTGTGCTTAGTCTATGGGAGAGTGTTACATTACAAAGGAGAAAGGGAAACATAAAGCATAGTCCTCGGGAGTATAGTAAAACACGACTGTGTTTGTATGTGTCATACACACATAAGGCGTGTACCGTACATTGAATGTACACGGCTGGAAATACGTATGCGTATGCCACAAAATGTCTGCCGCGTCAAAAGTTGGCCTAAACAACCCGGATTTTTCGTTTTTTCTCGGGAACAGTGCGACATTAGGTTATTATCCTTTGAACCAGACCTTTGAAAAAGGATAAGTAAACAATCCAAAAACAATTTTTTTCGGGGATTTCAGGCCCTAATGTCCCTTAAAAGTGGAAGCAATATCGTTACCACAGTCGAACATTTTGCTCAGGTCAGTGTTGAAACACATCCAACAAGCTGGCCATACCAACTGAATTATGTTGATATAATTGTTTTCTCTCAGCAACAAAATAGTCCGACACAATAAAAACCCATTTCATAACACGTCATTTTGACCTACACATCTTAGTTCGTGTTCAGTGCAGCTGCGTTTAGTGTATAAAATCTGTACGCGTGATTACACGTTTTAGCTGTCATGACTTATGCTCATTTTTTTGGGTATGTACATGTAATTCGTTCGTTTGTATATAGTGTTGGGACGGTAAACGTATTACATTAAACAGTAAAACCCCCGAAGTGAGGCCCGAAATCAACTTGCCTCAAAGATTACATGAACTAAGTTCATATGTTGATCGACACAGACAGAAACATACAGTCTAACAGGAAATAAATGCACCACCTATTATGTGAACCTATAAACCAGATGGATATAATAAGTAAAGCTGACAGTTTATCAACTTGAAGCCAAACAGTTGATGATATATCACCTGGATCAGTTAAATGTCCTATAAAAAAGGCCAACAAATAAAATGCTAGGCCCTCTAGCTTATAACAGGAAGCATAGACATTCAAACAGGAACGTACGCAATGCATGTCGGACAGTAGTAGATGCCAGTTATAATGTCGATTATCTAACTAACTCCTGGCAGTGATGTAACTAAGGAGTGGAGGGGGGTGCTGGGGTACGCCAAGCACCGTCGCCAGCGGCCGGGCATGGGGGGGGGGCAGTACCAGCTGGGGGGGGGGGGCACACCTCAATATAAAACACAAACTAGTTCATTAACCTCCTCTTTTGCCACCCCCCTCAGCATTTGGGGGACGGGAAGGCATTAAAAACGAGCATTTGATGATTACATGCCCCTTAAAATCAAAACAAAAACGAGCCCGCCTTCCTTACACCATCCATCCTGCAAAAATGGAACCATACGCCACTGACGCCTTAAAGTTCAGAAAATAGTAAACTTACCAAGACAAGGATGAATGGATGTCTAACTTGCACTGAAAACCTTGCGTCCAATCTTAGTGACAGACTGTTCGATACACTCTCCAAAATTCTACTGCTGTCATTTACACAACGTTGGCAGGCTCCACAGTGATCTATCATGCAGTTTTGTTTGTGGTGTATCGACAGATCCCAGTTCGGGCCTGCGCTGTTTCTTTTGTGTTTACTGCAACGTCACTGCAGAAGTAAAGTTGAAGGCCGATTTCTGTCAAGTCTCGTGAGTTTTTTTTTTCATTCTAAAGAATCGCCACCAGAGGTCTTTAAATCCAGTCAGTTTGAGCGGGGATTTCTAAAGCATTGGCCTCTTTTGTAAGGCCGCTAGGGAAAAGTTCACAAAGTGGCATTAAAAAAAAAAGCTGACGGCTATTTTATTGTGATTATCGAGGCTGGGAGTTTCTTTACAAATTGAAGGTGTGAAAGAACCTAGAGGCTTAGGGCTCAAACTGTTGTTGACATGGTCTCAAGGATTATTTTCGTTTAAGCACACCTATTGCAAAAAATTCGAAAACAAGTTTAGGTTACAGCGCTTTTATATGTTTCAGATCAAGACCTATAGGCTTTATTCAGGAGTCGGCCATATTAAATTGAAAAGCGAGGTAAACAGTCATTTTTTGGAACTTGCGAATAGAAATGAAAGCAATGAAATAAAGTTAATTACAAATTAATATCAGTCTGCGGTGATGAATAATTTCAAAATTTATGATTAAACATATCCTAACGTTTTAAGCAACATTTAAAAAAAAACTGAAAGTGAGGCTTGGAACGCTTAATAGTCTGGCACCATCCCATTCAACAGTTTACAATTTATAAAATACATAGGGCCTACAAGGAACACGATCAAAATGGCTTCCTCTTGAATAAGGTCACGAAACATTACTTGTGAATAAAAACAGAATTAGAAAAGAAACAAGCATAAGCATTTTACAAAAAAAGGAAGACTTTTAAGTTTAGATTTAACCGGATTGTGCTAAGACAAAAATCTGTCTGTACTCAAGAAAGTGGATTCCTTACAAAATATTATTGCTCTTTTATACTGTGAAATACGCGACAGCGAATTGGAGCGTGCAGAAACACGTACAAGTGACATGCAAACAAGTGAAACTTTCGCTGGTACACGGACAACGTGTTTGGACAGGCGGCGTCTGTCAACAGAACACGTGTAAATGAATAGTGCGCGCACCATCGATTTTGCATTTTGAGACGAACAGTCAGCGACGAAGATGGATTCAAATGTGGACACCAATGCTCCCGACATGTTCGTGCAAAGCAGTCGCCCAGGGCATGTTTTAGTATATCTATAAGCTTACGAGGTCTAGTGGAAACGTTTGCTCGAAAAAGAGATGGTTTTTGACCACATTGTTTCACAATAGCGCCCCCAATGAAGTTTTGTAATATACTGCACCACACGTAGGCCGGGTCTAAGTCCAACTTTTTTGTCTCACAATTTGATCGAAAGCTACTTTACGAGCAGTATTTTAAAAGCTCAAGGTCTCATTTTTATATATTAAGGTAAGGCTTTTACATGCATTTAAATTTTACCACATAAAATGAGAGAAGCTTAGGGGATAGGGTTGAGTTACAATTTGGGACTCCCAATGCTGTGTATGAGAGTCCAGAAACCTAAGATAGTGAAAATATGCAATGCAAGAATATCGACTTTTATATGAAACAATCAGTCCAACACCATTTAGTGCTGCATCAACCAACTGTATCAAAAAAATGTCAGTGGTACATAGTCTCCATATTTTCTACTCATTCTCTTCACATGCCACCAATGTCATCATGGTCAATCTGTTCAAAAAAAATGGTATCTTCCAGTCTTAGTAATAGGCTTCATATTGAAATCACTTTGCATCACTTTCAGGTACATGTTGTTGGCGAAACGTCTCTTTTAAAAATTGATTTGAGATTTCAAATTTGGCTTGTGAAATACTGAGGACCATGTCTTTGTTCAGGGAGACTTTTCATAGCTAAGGCCAAAAAAAAAATAATAATCGGTCTCTGGTCAGACCGAAGTTCTGGAATTGATGCGGCGACGCGTTTTTTTTTTCAAGCTTGAATTGTACAGACAAGGTGGGTACTATTTTGCTTTTTTGTGCCCTCATTATACATTGGTGTTCTCCATATTTTGCCTTGGTGCCCTTTATCATTTGCCTTGGTGCAATTTCCCCATTCCTTAGTGCTCCTTGGTACAAAAATTTGAGGAGGTGCGGCAATAGAGGGCGCTGTTGTAGCTTCCGTGTTAATTTGAAGGAAAAAAAAGGTTGACGCGCATGGTTAAAATCGACGCGCGCGCTGACCAGAGACCGGAGTATTTTTTTTGGCCTAAAGGGTGAGTTAAGTTGGCGTGATTTTGTTTGCATGTTTCATTTGCACTCAAGGTACCAGTCTGGGGCTGAGTCATATATATGTCGAGTTCAAATGGATTTGTGTATTTATTACATTTCTTTACCCATGGTATGCCCGAACAGTTTAAACTGAATTCCATTGGGGCCCTGCATACATTACAAATAATAAATAATGTTAAGCAAAGTACAACTCATATTACTAGGGAGAAAGTGCATTGGTGAAAAAGACGACGAACATTAACACTTACAAATACAGGTATTTCAGAAATATTACAGAAATAAAGCTATATACACAACACAAGTTCATTTCAAAAATTCAAGTGCATAGGCAGGCGCAGATCCCGGGGAAGGGGTCAAAACCCGCATCCAGCTCTGTCAAAAAAGTATTTTACCCCCCCCCCCCCATCTGACGCCCCAAAACAGTGTTACTACTATACGCCTGTGCACAAAATACGGACAGAGCCAGCTGGGATACGGGGGTATATGTACATGTACACTATCGTGCAATATAGTGTTACTAATTGTCGGATGTGAACAGTGCTTCCATTGAAAGTATCGTAGGACCCCCCCCCCCCCCCCCCCCCACCCGTATTGATTTTACGGAGCCAAGTGTCCGGGGAAAAGAACACTGTCCACATTTCAGCATTGATTTGCTGATGAATTTATACATCCGTTTCCTTGGAGGACTGTGACTTGACCACGTGGCTAGCCTCTTCGCCATCCCCAGTAGCCACTTCATCGTTGTCGATCGCTTGCTCGTACTTGTTTGTCTGAAAATGAACACAAATCCATAAAATACAACTTAACACAGAACAAGACATTTTTCACTGTAGATTCAAACCACGTCGTCTAATTGGAAGCTCGTTGTATTCGTACCAATCCTTGTGCGCTTTGCCAGATAATTCACTAGGGTATAAAAACTGTATACAATATGTTCCCAAAAAAGTGTCCGTTTGACTAGTTTTGAAATAACTACACAACCACGAAGTCAATTTCGAAAGACACTCCTTATCCTTGGCCTCAACCCCTATGAGTTTCATTTACTTTCAGTCACGCATCACTGCACAATGGTCAATTGATCGCAACAACATTTTTGGACACTGTGACCAAGTTCCTTGCCTTAATGAATTTCAGTGCTGTGTTATGTAAGCTGTGTAAATCCTGCATGTTGTGAAAAAAATGCTAATGTGGTTTGGGATTGGAATCATTTGCCCTTGAGCATTAAACTGAGGTCTTGCCATGATGACTGATAGCTATAGGTAAATGACTCCAATCCCAACCGCAGCCCTTTTCACAACATGCAGGATTTTAGGCCAAAAAAAAAAGTCTCCGGTTTCTGGTATGGAGCTTGCCCAAAAAGTGGTGCGGCGACGCGGCTTTTTTTTTTTTTTACCTGATTTTTTTGCTTCAAATGTCGGCTGATGACTGCAAATGGTGCCCGACTAAACTTAGTGCAAATATATGGGAGTCCAGAGAGGCCACATAAAGCTTATTCTCGACCATAACCCAATCTAAAACACGTTAAAATTGTGCAGCAGCAGGATTCCAGTCAAACAAGTGAGTTTGGCGGTTTTGACTTGAGACATCATCTTTTATTGAAAAAAAAAATTCATTTTGCCGACGCGCATGGCTACGGCGACGCGCGCGCATACCAGAAACCGGAGCCTTTTTTTTTTGCCTTTTTCAGCTTACATATTAATACAGCACTGAAATTCATCACGGCAAGGAACTTGGTCACAGTGTCCAAAAATGTTGTTGCGATCAGTTGACAATATTTTATAAATAGTCAGGCGGACACTTGTTGGAACATAACATAGACACACCTTGAAACACTTTGCCAACTTTGTTGCTAAATGTTGAATTCATGACCTTATTTTTTACACGATTATCTCTTTTCTTGAGGGAAACGCAAACGAAGCAGAGTGTTATGGAAAACCTAAGCTTTGCGCCGAGCAAAAATAACGAAGATCGTTTTCAAAGTTTTCCACAAAAGTATATCTTCTAACCATAGCTGACATTTCGTCAGGTTAGCTTTATTTTTTATATATGCTACTTGTTCTTCCTTGTGCTTTTTAAGCACCATTTTATCACTCAGTCGCACCCCTTACCCTGTAAATTAACAATGCGCCAACGCAGAAGATCAGGCTGGCCAGGAACCTGAAGCCAGCCGCGAAGCCGATGAAGACGAACCTAAGACCAGGCCGGTCGTACACCAGACATTCCCCCGTAGCATCGCACGATTCCTGCCAGTAGGAGCACTGACTCTCGAGGCTCGCACCCAGAATGACAGGGGCTGGTATGAAACCTGTTATTTGGAGTACAGAAAGTGTTAGGTGAATTCACTATGACGCCATCTTGGGACACCCTGTGGCATTGCATGATTCTAGCCAGTAGGAGCACTTGCTCTCGATGCTAGCACCCCGAATGACAGGGGCAGGCAGAGGTCACAAGGGCGCCATCTTGGGGGTTCAAAAATATACAAATCTTGCGTCAAATCTCGTCAAGTCTTGTGCAGTTGCACGTAACGGTAGCCATATTGGGAGTTCCATAAAGTTAAACATGACAACTTCACTTGCACCGTTCCTTGATAGTTTGACAGAGGTACACATTTTGCACGTACTTATTTCCTTCATGCAAATTTTAATTTAACCTGGGATGAAGTAACAAGACTTACCGAGTATTTTACTGAAAAGTGATGTCAGTCCTATTGACAGATTTCTGTCCTTGTCTAAAACAGACCTAGAAGACAATAAATTTAGAAGGAAAAGCACCATAACTAAAAAAAACTTTAAATGGCTGTACAGGTTTATCTGAGGATTGGTATGAAAATCTTTTTTTATAGGTAGTTAAGTTAATAAGATAGTAGCGCGTCCAGTTTAGAGTCGGAAGGGAGCAAAAAGGAAAAAAAACGTGAAAAGTGATCCTCATTTTTTAAGCTCTGTAGTTGGAGCTTCTACACATGTCACTTCTTCGTCGGTCGGTCTGTCGTCTGTCTGTCTGTCTGTCTGTCTGTCTGACCCCCAAAACATACCAAAAGTATGTTCCATATGTGCCATCGGCGTCGCATTTTTCGGCGTCGCATTTTCAGCTGTGGCAGGGATCATTTTGATCGATTTCATGCAAGACTGTCATGCAAGACTTATGGGTGCAGACCAGTAAATCGGTCCGAAATTGCCTGCGCCGGCCAAATCACGATTTGCATGCCCTCAAAATCTTCGGTATTTGGGCATGCTTTGGGCCATGAACTTGAGGGTTTGTAAAAAATATGGGTGGAAGCCGTGCACAGGACTGGGAGCTTGCAGTTCTGTGTAATTTTGATGTAATTTGGACCCTAAAAGCGCTCTATTTTGCAATGGAGTGTAGGCATCGTTTTTCAAAATGGCGATGGGCTTCAGGACTATTTTCAGGGGTGATCATCTTCAGATGGAAATTTCCCCTAAAAGTCATCAGTTGACCCCCCGAAAATTGAAAAGAAAATGAAAGATGATGAAATAAGCTTTAATTTGATGTGCGTCTCGAACACCTTGGAGAGTTGTGAGTATTTTTCCCGAATTTTTGAAGTGGGAGCATTTACCATTGGGGTCTATGGAAGTTTATTTACTGGTCTGCTACCTTTATTGCAACACGGCCAGAGCTTATTGTGCACTCGCACTTTTTTCTATCCTCCTAGGGAGTACCAATTGCCACTTCCTATTTTCTCCCAGCTTAGGGGTTCCTGATAACTATCATTTTGATCGATTTCATGTAAGAGTTTCATGCAAGACTTCTTGCAACACGACCAGAGCTTAGGCCTATTTTGCACTCGCACTTGCACTGTACAATTAACATCTTCCTTGAACAAGGCGGACGCAGTGTGCAGGGGTTGGACGTTATCCAAAAGGAGGAAATATCCGTCCCTGAAATTGACAAAGTATGGTGTTCCGCATGTGCCATCGGCGTCGCATTTTTCGTCTGAGCTTATTGTGAACTCGCACTTGTTTCATCTGCAAAAAATATTTGCAAAAGTAGAAGGTATTGCTAGTACATTGTACAAGTTGTGAAATTGAAATGATAAATTCGATTGAATAGCAGAGTTTCTCCAAGCCACGGATATGTCACTAGATAAGATGGGCACTCTCACCTGAACTTCATCATGAATGTGGGGTTAAACGACATGGATGAGATTGCCATGGTGACACCAAGGCTGATGATGAATGGAAGCAATAGGTCACAGTTCGACGCGCATGCGCCTTGGAAAGCAGAACCGGGAGCTGGGTCCTTCTGGGAACCATAATCAGTTTGGTTGATACAAGTGCAGCCTTGGTAAATCTATCACACACAAAATTAATCACGGAAGTAAATTTAAAGAAAGGAGTTGTGATTCATAACGCCTTTGATTATTTAAATCCCTCTATCTTTTTTATCATTAAATCTTTGAAGAACAAAACATCTTAGGAGTCAATTCATTAAATATCCGAAAGATACATTACTGAAGGTGTATCTAGAATTCAAATACATTAAAGGGAATATACATCATTTGCTTTTGCTGTAATTTTCAGAAATGGATGGAATTGGGGGGTTGGAAATATATAGCAAATATAGTTACACTGACTTTTTTGAGGTTTTGGGTTCGAAAATGCTATAAAAACCAAGAAAAACAATCATTTTCCTGTAGTCTGGTTCCCTGACTCCATTTAAGAAGAAACAGAGCAGTTTACATATATTGGGGAATTGTAAGGTCAGGGAACCAGTCTAGCTGGCTTGTACCCGTTCATAGGTGTGTAATCGATTGCAAACAAGTGCGCTGGTCAACTGGGGCCAGTATTTGAAAAAAAGCCAGTTTTTTTCCAACGCTGATCGGCCGATCAGCGTTGGAAATTGATACAAAAATACCACTTTTCTTGAAAATGACAGTATACCAGGTGCCATGATTTTACAGGATGCTTTACACTGTCATTCACTAACAGTCCAGCAAGGTATTTCAAAATGATTTGGTAGTTTTATTTTTTGATGTTTGCAAATGTTGTATTTTCCCTTTAAGTTGCAGAATTCTGCGGTCTTCCCTATATAATATTGACGTTTTCAGTTGTAAAACATGATGATTGTTCAACTACAGGCAGGCGCGGTTCTAGAGCCTACATTTTAGGGGGGGGGTAGTAGGGGTTTAATATGATCCAGACATTTCTTTGGGGGATAGATTAGCGCAGCGTGATTTTCGTGTGGGAGACCTCGAGGGCACGTGGGACGGCGCGTGGGACGGCGCGTGGGATGCCACGGCCCGGGCTCGTACGTACGTACGCGCCATCATCTCCGGCAGGGTGACCGTAAGGTCATAACTAAATTCTGCTAAATGCACTTCAAAAATCTGTCAGATTTATCAAAAATCTGCCAAATTCCCCAGAATTACTCGAAATACACTATAAACAATTGGAATCACATGCAGATGTTGTAATATTGCCTTAATTAATGTTCAAATTACATTAATAATGTAATGTAATTATAAACAATCTATAGCCACATAAAGATAATATGAATTTGCATAAATTTCAGGCAAAATGCATGCGGTCGCATCACGACGAAATAATCCGGTTCCTAGTGAACCTCCGCACCTACACCAGGCAAACCTGTCCTATTTTGCAAGGGTTTGTTTCAAAAGATTGAAGCTTTTTGTTAATAAACATACTATTTTTTGCAAATTTGCTGTTTTTCTGCCAAATAACCATTTTTTGCAGAATTCTACCAGAAATCTGCCAAAAAAAATCCATTCTGTCAAATTTTCTGTCAAACTCGTTTTTTAACAAAAAATGTGTCAAAGTTAGCCGAAAATCGGCTAAAACGGTCACTATTTTCTCCGGTCAGCGAATTGTTTTCCCAAATATAATGTTGTTGTCGGTGTTTAAATCACCGACGATTGGCGGCTGATTCGTGGACTGGTTGGAAGTTGTCCTGACTTCCAATCAGGTGATCGAGTTCCAATCTCTGCGAGCGTTTTTCACTTCTTCTCATTTTACCTTTTAAATAACTAAAGTGAGGAAAGAACAATTTCTCACAAGACGTACAGCCTATCGGGGGTTTGTGTTGCGGAAAACAAGGCATAAGATATGCATGTAATGGACCAATCAGAAGATGGGAAACGGATGTCGTTTGGGGAAGAAAAGACTCGCCTCCGGTCAACGTGAGTATACAGGGTGTTAAAAAAAAAAAGGAAACCCAACTTCAAAGAATGAGTATGGACAGACTATATTATTACTGGCTATAAAACTGGTATCATCGGAAAGCGTCATCTCTATGCTTTTCAATGATACCGTGTTTAGGTTTTCTGAGTCATGCATCACTGAGCATCATTGTCTTGAAAACTGGATGCAAAAATGCAGTTGGTTCACTTTCATAAAAAAAAACACCACTGGGCACGGTGTGCCTATTGTTATGGAAATGTCTGTTCTGTGAAATGGCTTGAATGTTAATCCTCGGGAAAATGGCACATTGTTTTGAATGTGGATTAGTCAAAACGAGATATTCATGACAAGCAATAAAATCCAGTTTTGAAACCAACCCGACTTGTTTTTTGGGTTTCTTTTTATGCACTCGTGTCTTCTTCTTGAATACTTATTCTCATGCACACCATGCCTATTGTGTTTGACATGAAAGTAAACCAACTGCAATTTTGCTTCAAAATCTCATGACAGTGGCGCTCAGTGATGCATGACCCTGGAAATGTAAACAAGGTATCATTGAAAAGCATAGAGATTACGCTTTCAGATGATACCAGTTTTATAGCCAGTAAACATTCAGTCTGTCCATACTGGTTCTTCAAAGTTGGGTTTCCTTTTTATTGAAACACCCTGTACTTTCATGCAAGACGGCCAGGGCTTATTGTGCAATCGCACTTGTTTACATTGGACTCACCGCTCTATCATCCTCATCTTTATCCACTGTCTCACAACCCGCGAAGCAAGCCGTTACGTATGTGACATTATCAGAGCCACACACTGGAGAATAAACACCCTTCTCGCAAGAACAATCCATGTTGCAAGATGAGAAGACATCCAAACTAACATAAACCGGGAAACAACATTAAGACAAAATTGCCGAGGTGTTGAAATAAATGTAAGTACACATTCCGGCAAATAAGCTGAACTTGTATTGCACATACATTATTTTAAAGGGAAAATACAACATTTGCGAGCATCAAAAAATAAAACTACCAAATTATTTTGAACTACTTGCTTGACTGTTAGTGAATGATACTCTAAAACATCCTGTAAAATCTTGGCACCTGGTATACTGTCATTTTCAAGAAGAGTGGTATTTTTTTATATTAATTTGCAACACTGGTCGACCGACCAGCGTTGGAAAAAACCCGGCTTTTTTTCAAATACTGGCCCCATGTGGATCATATTGGTTTGCAATCGATTACTCACCTATGAACGGGTACAAGCCTGCTAGACTGGTTTCCTGACATTACAAATCCACAGTGTTTATAAATTGCTCCGTTTCATCTTAAATGGAGTCAGGAACCAGACTACAGGAAAATGATTGTTTTCCTTGGTTTTTTATAACATTCACGAACCCAAAACGTCAAAAAAGTCAGTGTAACAATATTTGCTATATATTACGACCCCCCCCCCCCCAATCCATCCGTTTCTGAAAATTGCAGCAAAAATTACAGGAAACGTTATAGTCTGTATGAACAGGCAAAGTTGACTGGAAGATATAAGGATCAAAATATCTGCTTTTGATAACTTATTAATATGCTTGGTACATGATTGTTAAAGAGGTTGTGGAATGCTCGAAGTCATTTCCGTCATTTTTGTCATTTTTTGGGTATATGTAGCCTAAGGTGTGATGAATTAAAAACGACTATTGTTTCTGTCATAAAATGAGTACAAAAGGTACTTTTGAGAGCTGTTTTTCAAGTCCTGTCACGCCTGTTTCGACCCGAACGTGCAATTTGTGTAAAAGTCGTCGTTGCGGGCAGCAAACAAAACACAGTAAATCGTGACGTAATAAACAGGACTCCCGATGCAGAGTAGCATAAACGAGTCCTGTTTATTACGTCACGATTTACTGTGTTTTGTTTGCTGCCCGCAACGACGGCTTTTACACAAATTGCACGTTCGGGTCGAAACAGGACCTGAAAAATAGCTCTCAAAAGTACCCTTTGTACTCAGTTCATGACAGAAACAATAGTCGTTTTCATTTCATCACACCTTAGGCTACATATACCCCAAAAATGACGGAAATGACTTCGAGCATTCCACAACCTCTTTAATGTCTAAACATTGGCATAAGTGTGGATATAGTCCGTCCAAATTCACCTGGATACGACTAGCAATAACACCCACGTCTATGGGAAGTGCCAGGCTTCAGCTGCTTTGCCGTAGCCGAATAATTCGGACGCGTCCATAGCTTTAAAGAAGTTGAGTGTGATAACTCTTTCGCTCGTAGTCGTACCCCCCGCCCCGCAAACAGAACGCTGGGATAGGCTGATGAATTTACGCTCTGATTGGATAGATTTTGCGCGACCTGTGACCTGCTAGCATCACGGCCACGACCCTGCAAGGTTTAAAACGGAGTTAAGACCGAGTCACTATACTCTTTTATTCCCATTATTAATAAATGCTGAAATCGTTGAAAAGCGTAATAATGTAGGGAAATCTGTAAAATTTATCTTTGTAAATTCTCAATTCCCGTCACTTGCTCACAGGCTCCCTTTCGAATTCACGAAGGGTCAAATTGCATATTATGCGACACTCAAATTTGTCCGCATGGTCCACAATGGAAAAGAAATCACATCCGGTATGGTATGTGTGCATTTCTATGACAAAGTTTTCGGATAGCATTTGCGCGCATTAGCTGACTGCGGTCTTAAACAGCTGCAGCCATATGTCTTGATAAGTTACCCAGAATGCCATCCCCACTTCCTTCACAAGATTCTGTGAAGCTCATCAGCCCTTCCCAGCGCCCTGTTTGTAGGGCGGGGGGTACGAGCAAAGATAACTCTATGGAAACTCACTTGTTTCCAGTCACGTGACCACCGGTCACGTGAGTTGTCAGTCCGGCAATATCGATGTTGGGGCATCCCAGGGCCATCATGCTGCCATACGCCAACACGCACAGAAGTTGGGCACCAACGGTGAGTTTGGCATAACCCCGCTGGCTCCCTGCCGCCCGCGAAGACACTACACCTCCAAGGATTATACCGATCAGGGTACCAGGCATAAAAGCAAAACCTGAGTATAGAGAAAACTGGAGGTTTTCCAAACATCGGCTTCAAAATCTCGAAATCTAAATGAAAATCTAAATGACCTGGGAAAAAAAAACTTTTGTCCGGGAAAAGTATCATTTTTTAAATCACAAAAGGGCTAGACAAATTTGGACCCGGTTTTCAGGTTAATTCGACCCTGGAGTTGTTGGAGTGTGTATAGCAAATAAAAGCTTTACCTACTAAAAGCCCAGCCCTCACTGGACTTAATCCAAACTGGAACTGTATGTACTTCGCACAGAACTGTTCGAATCCGGCAAAGGCAATCACCAATATGCAGTAGCCAATCAGAGAGGTCATGAAGATGGGATTGGTGAGAAGACGCCACAGTGACACCCCAAATTCTAGAAAAGAAAGGGAAAATCCATGATCCAAAAGGTTAAAAGAAACAGAACAAAGGGTTAAAAGATATCACGACTGGATAATTTTTGTAGGGTTTTACGTTTTGTGTTATATATCTGAAATTTTGTGTGAAATACACTTCAGTTACCTTTGATTGCGACCACTATTGGTTGGCCGTTGTACTTCTTGTGATGTGTGGCTATTTGTGTCATAGCCACGCCCCTTTCGTCCCGCCCACCACTCCCTCGTCCAATCATTGTCTTACAGCAACCAGGCATCCGTAGGCCGCAACAGTAGGACTTTGGTTTGTGCATCTTCCGCGGGAAGAAGTAGAAAGGGACGGAGATTAGACACAGCAAACAGCCGTTGATGATGAAGCCCAGCCACCAGGCGCCTTGCCATTGAGGATCCCGGGGGGTGAGACCGAGTTCCGAGACGTCGGTCTTGTAGAAATCCACGAAGAGTGACAGGCAATAGCCGCTGAGTGAGTATCCAAACAGGGGAGCGATCGCCATGGGCAGAAACATCAAAGCTGTTGAAAAATCAGCAAATGGCCGTAGGCTGTATTATTATGGAACTATTTTGTTACGCTTGCGGACTACTACACATGTACCTTGTATTAATTAGAATTCAATGGACTACATGAGGCTGGGGCGCGGCCGTTGAAATTCAGTGGCCGTCAGCCTGACCCGGGACACATCTCACCATGTCTTCATTTTGTTGCGAGCTTTGTCTGATATTCCTTCCTGCCTTCCTTGAAACTTGAAAGTGCAGCCTCATATGTATGAGGATAAACGCACTTGCCAGAAACACCGGGGCGAACCCCTTCTCTTCAGTGTTACTGTTTTTTAACGTACATTATACAGCACAAGGGACCTACGGCTTTACGTCCCATCCGAAGGACGCAGTAATAATGATTAAGTGCCTTGCTTAAGGGCACAAGTGTCCAGACCCGGGCTCGAACCCACGCCACCAGAGCATGAGTCCGGTGCTCTTAACCGCTATACCGTGACAGAGGTGAAAATTGGTTTCCAGGGTTACTTTATTTTGAGTAGTCACTGTATCCCGGGGCAAAAGAGGCTCACATAACAGTATAATTGCACTGTGATAATGGTAAAGTTTCACTAAAAATGCTAATTGTAATTTAAATAAAACTAAAACACCAACCCCCTACGAAATTAATTTGAAAAACAAGACAAGGTAAAGCTGGTCCGAGCGCACACAATTCTACTCAAATGATTCTGAATGACTATGTGTGCAAAATTCGTTAGTGTTAGGGATACCCCTATACGACAGCACTGTGCGGCTCAGGAAGGTGAGGTGAGGTCAGGTGAGGTCAGGTGAGGTCAGGTGAGGTCAGTCAGGTACAAAGAGGACATTAGGCTGGTATGGGCCTCTTGGACACGGCCAAAAAATACCCACCCAAATAGATTGGTACAATGGCCTTCTCCACTGCGTCATCGATATACGTCACAGACAGCGGCAAGATGGCGGAGCTCCCGACTCCAATGAGCAGCTGGCCCAATATGATGGGCCACGCCTTTGCGAGTTGGGAACCAGACGCTTCGATTTCTTCGGCTGTGCACGGGGTTGCATTCGCCTCAGCACTGCAAATGAAATCTGAATACGGATTTTGGTTAAAAAAAAGGGAAATTGCATAATCAACAAATACCTTAAAATCGTCATTCTTTAACTTTTCCATGAACGAGGTATAGGCATATCTCGTCTATAGCCATCCAAAGAAAGTATAACTGCTGTGAAAATTCTTTGAATAATTGAACTGCTATTTTGTTCCTGTGTGTTCCATTTTTTAACGCACTGTGCAATAACAAATGTATGTAATTCACCAATTGGCACTTTGGGGGGAGGGGGCGTGACCAATATAACTCGCTATAGTAGCCGATAACTAATAACTATCAATCAAAAGTATGTAAAAAAATCCTTCTTGATTGTATATTTAACAGTTGTCGGTTTTTAACTTGTTTATCCTTCTTGCGAATTACGAACTCGTTTACAGCATATCATTTGTACTTGCCAAAAGTTAACATTGCAATAATATCCCTAAAGGGCGCGTGCAATGTCATTGCTTTAAAATGAAATCCTTGAAAATACCTGCACCGTTCTGTCCCATTTAACCTTATGTTCAATTTTCGTTTGGCCATTTTCAAGGGCAATTTGGTGCCTTTTTGGCTTTTATGCTCATGCAAATTTCAATATTCATGAGCAGAAGTATAATGTCATTTCAGGCAGAAACCTCTATGTTACAGCTATTTCAGCACAAAAGTTACCAGAGTTTTGGATATTTTGCCGTTGTAAATTTTCTTTTCTTTGGTGGTTCGTTGTTACAGTACGTGGCAGTAAGCCAGTGAGCAAACTTTTCTCACAAATGTGTTCAATGAGCAGATTTTTGGGTTATACTGAACAGAAAACCCATAAACTGTCTTCCTGAAATGATATCACAGCAACAGCGCCCTCAGTTGTCCGGAAAAGCATCATGGTAAATTTTAAATGTTTAAAGAAGTGCACTTTTGAATAAAATTAACCCAAAAGGGATGTCAAATAGTTTCCATTCATTCATTACAAGAGGAGTAGAAAATTGCACAAAATGTGTTCCAAGGTACAATTCATTTCATGGACACTTTAAGACTTCCAATGTGCCTTATCGACCGTAAAACTAGAGTTATTTTGGTAAAAATGCGAACTGTACCTTTTCCGTACAACGATGCTCCCGGGCTCGACTCTGATTGGTTGGCACTGGTGACGAAAATTTCGTCAAGGGCTGGGTTGTCGTAGATGAACTGAGGCAGCGCGTGCAAGAAAGATCCCAGGGCAACCAACAAGCAGGATATGCCGATGATTCTCGGCCGATGTGATCTAGGAAGTAGATGAAATAATCGACTGCAGGGAAATTTCGCATCGCTTTTTAGCTGCGGGATAGCAGCTCAACATATCACTGTGTCTCCCCGTTTGTCCGTTAGTTAGTTAGTTAGTTAGTAACAAACGTTTTTATTTGTTCCGTTCAAAAATTACTTTGTCAAATTTCCAAAATGACTTTTTGCAGCCCCAATCAGTCTTTGTTTTTATTAAGATTAATTCTAGGTTTTGAAATTTTGTTTGGTAGGCCTTCTTTGGAGGAAATGCGACTTTCTTGCCTGTTTTAGGACTTAGTGATGCCTATAGGTACTAGGTGCACCCACAGCGGTTCAGGCGCAAGGGCGGAACCAGGGGGGGGGGGGGGGCCAAAGGGGGCCATGGCCCCCCAAAAAACGAAACCATTTTTTTTTTTTTTATGTGACATCGCAAAAAAGGCAGGCAATGAGTACACCACCATCTTTTCCTCAAAAAAACATTGGTTAAAGTGGTCAGAAATTGCCTCAGATCGCACCACAGAGCATCTAGAATCCAAAAATTTTCCGGGGCCCTTAAGCGGGCCCCGAACCCCACGCCGTAATTTTTTTGGCCCACTTTTTGGGAGGACCAAAATTTTTTTGGGCCCCCCAAAAAATTGTGTTCTGGATCCGCCCTTGTTCAGGCGCTGTCATAATTTTACCCCATAATTTCCTCATCAATAAATACCCTCTCTTCCTACAAATTGTGCCTGCTGATATTCAATGTGGTATTTTAGCGAACTAAAAATATATAAAGTTAATATCCTGCTAGTAACTATTTAGGCAAGTCCCAACTCATAAAATGGTCTTTTCGTTCTATGGAACGGGGTCCTAAACGACATGAATTGCCTCAATCACTTTACCTCCCTCCGAAGTGTGCAACAAACAACACCCCACTCAACGAAGAGATGTCGTTCATGGACATCAGGAGACCAGACTCCGAGCTCTTCAACTGAAACCTCTTCTCGATGGTCGAGACGACACCAGCCATATACACCCCACCGCCCCCAGTGTACGCCACTACCAGAAGACCAAAGAGGGTGACGAAGGCGTTTGGATGCGCGAACAACTGGAGGCAACGACACCTCAGGGCGCCGAGACAACACTGCGTGTGCGCGTCCTCCTTGTCGTCAAGGACGTCCTCAATGATGACGTTGTCGAAGTTGCCATTTTTGTCTTGAATTGGCAGCTCTTGATACTTTGGATCCGAAGAAGCATTTCTGTCCTTCGTCTGCGACATTTTGATAATTTAGCGACTCGGACCGTACCGGTGCACAACTACCTGTGTATTAAGAACGAACCTTGACCGAGTTATACAGTTGAATGCCGCGACTAGGGCCTGTTAGCGTTCCTTCGTTTTGAACGAACGTAGTACGGCAGCAACGTAGAAACTGCTCATTGCCCAATGAGAACCTGTACACGATGCGCTCTATCCAACTGTGACCGGTGTCTTTGTTGAGCATCATAAATATTCATGTTTCAAAAGAGTTCGTCCGAGAGAGGCGTGAACACAGCAAAAATGTGCATTATATATTGGAAGCACGTGGATGTTAGGAATTGAGCGCGCGACAGAATGTTATTTAGGAAAGATTCCTATATCTGGCCATCAGTAATTTTCCCCTTAAATGACCTATCAGCCATCAGAGAGTAATAATATGTAATAATAGGTTTCTTGGGTTGAGGTGAATGCCACCGACCAAATTAGGAAACAGAAGAGTGCATGTGCATTCTTGGGCTAGGTGCAGGTACATCAAGTATAGCTGAACACAGGAAAGCATGAAACAAACCTCGTCAACTATGGTGGAGCAGTTACCATACAATATAATATAATAAAAATGATATAAACGCCATCGATATTGCGTAACTGCGATCCATGTTGAAAGTGATGATCTGGAACCATGTGTAGACCTCGAACAAGATCATAGCATTACATCAAAATGAAAACACATTGACCTTTGTATGATAAGTAGTTTATTAAATTCATCATCATCATTAGCCCAATTCGATCCGATGCTGGATGCTGGCCTCTCCAAAATCTTCCCATGCTTTTCGGTCCCTTGCAACTTGTTTTACATTTCTTCCCTATGAAATTATCTCTTCCGCTGTCTTCCTCTCAGCCTCTTCAATGATAATAGCGTCCAATCTGTTACTTTCAGGGTCAATAATGCTTCTCATGACACGTCCTGTCCAACTCTACTTTTTTCTTTTGATCTTGTCACCACTAACTATGAAACTCGACTTTTAAAGTGATGACCCCGGTCAAAAAGAAACTAAAGTACAATGACAGAAAGAACTGACGATGAGAAACACGGAAATAATTCACCAATTAATTATATTCACAAACTCAAACTATTTACAATATTTACAAAGATCCGGACTCGTGGATCAAACTTCTCATAATCAATCTCAGTTAGGAGTTTTACTTTCTACGCCAACAATTTAGTCTACAAATTCAATTTCTCAAGCTTAACTCGTAAATTTCTAACAATCACAAATCTCTGTAACTGAGTGTACAACGACACAATCCAAAATCCAATCCAATTGTAGGATATGGCTCTAAAATTCAGCCGTAACTCTTGTTTAAATTCAGCCTTAGCTCCAAAATTCAATTCAGAATTCAGTCCAATCAGATATATATAATTTGGATCTAAAATCCAACCGTGACTATACCACAATTCAAAATTCACTTCAATCAAATATCAATACTTCTGTTCGGTTCTGATAAACTGGGTAAATCAAATAATCAACCTTTCGGATTATAACGCTCCAATTCGACAATTCAATCACAATTTTGTTCACACTTAATTCCTTCAAACAGCTAAATCAACTTCGGTTATATTTCTTATGATTATTCCAAAAACAAAATCACAGCTTTCCTGCAAATTGAAGACTTTACAATTTTAACTGAGGCACTTTCCTTAGTAGAGGGTCTCGTCTCCGTGGCACGTTTCCAGCTGATAGGACACGGTCAATCGGCACGGGACACACTATGTACAGAATAACATCGTAGTCGTTCTGCAGTCGTTACTATTCATCATGAACCCAACTCGTACTGTGAGGTTTCCGGCCATCTACAATATAAAACAGTTACCGAAACCCATCCAGTATTTTGTTCTAAAATTACAGTATATCCATAAATCTCAAGATGTCAAGTATAGTAAGACTTCGTGTCAAGGTTGCACTTTATCTCAAGGTATCATTTCAAGCACTTTTTACCAAGAAAATTATTATTCTTAACAATCATAATCAATTGGTATAAACTACAGATTCTTATTTTCGGAAGTTGAGAAATAATATTAAATACAACACTTACGGTTATTTCTTTATTACGATGCTTGTGAAGGCTGAGTGTTGCTATGAGCGTGGTCTACAGGACCGGGAAGGTGGCTTTTAGCCTTGCCGAGACTATTTTGGCAATGATTTTGCCAAACTGGCGGATCAGACAAGATCGGTGGCAAGTTTCACCGATTTGCTGACGAAAACCTGCTGTATCAGGCGTCTCCTAGCAAGATGGTACCGGTCTCTGTCACACTCAGCTCAGATCTCTCAAATTTGCTGGTGTGTCTTCTCTCTCGATCAGAGAATGCACTGATCAGAAAACGCACACAACTTCTACTTGACAACAACAAACATTCTTTCACACAATACTCACATTCACAGAAACAAACGGACATCAATAACCATGGCCACACGGACAATAATAATTACGTAACCCGACGCACGGCGTTTTAGCAGGTTGACCAAATCAATGCCTTAATTTTTAGTGGCTGGAAAAGAAACTACCGGGAAAATGTGCGTACACGATTGGCGAAAAACTTTTGGCATGATCTACTTTACAATACGGGGGTGGTGCGATAGCCGTAGCGCGCGTAATAAATACAATTACGTAACAGAAACGAAGCGAATTAAAGACGATTGTGACAGATCTAAACTATAAGCTTGTACCGCTGTCTTTCTTCCAAGATCTTCGTTCCTAATTCTGTCTCTCTTAATGTGACTCCAGTCATTATCTTGTCCATTGCCCGTACAGTGACTCGCAGTTTTTGCTCTGATTTCTTTGAAGGTGCCCCGGTCTCAGCGCCATATGTTAGAACTGGGTTGATGCACTGGTTGAAGAGTTGATGCTTAATTTTTTGTACATTTTATCTACCTTGAATATGCAACTAAACTTGCCAAATTTTTTCCCATGCAAGTTGTATTCTCCTCTGAATCTCCTCTGAATTCTCAACCTTAAATGTAATCATCATTCTGTCCCAAGTAGTTAATTCAATTACCCGTTATATAATCATTTCTCCTATTTTTTAAACAATATTTCATTACTTATCTGGAAATACTAATTTGTATATTCTTTCCGATGGTCATGCATGTAAAAGGGTCGTGTCAGCTATGCAACCCATGCCGACATACAAATCGAATTCTTACCTAACTCCTAACTCACAACCTATATTATGACGCCCATCGCTGTGTGGCCATGCCACGAACTTCATTATACATGATTTTTGCTGTGTTCACGCCTCTCTCGGACGAGCTCTTTTGAAACATGAATATTTATGATGTTCAACAAAGACACCGGTCACACTTGGGTAGAGCGCATCATGTCTAGCTTTTCATTGGGCGACGAGCAGTTTCTACGCTGCTGCCGTACTACGTTCGTTCAAAACAAGGAACACTGTTCACAAACCGCTGTTTGTCGAAACCAACTAATAATGCAACGTTACCCAACATATAAAAATACCTTTTAGTCGTCTGAGTGGATAAGTTTGAATTGTAAATTTTGCGCCGATATCCCATTAAATACAATTATTGCACATGAGCAGTTTATCACTTTTTAAATTGATGTTTCGTAATGCCTGGAAACTCTGCTCTGCCCAGTGTGTACATTTATTGTGTAGACGATTTAACGTTAGGTGCCTACGACCTGCGTTCATTCTCAACACACGGTCAAAAATTTACCTGCCTGAGAATCTGTCTAAACGTGTAAATGACAAGTTCATATTTAATAACACGTAAACTTACATGCAGATTTGTAGTATTGCCTTAATTAAGGTTCAAATTACATTATAAACAATCTATAGTCACATTAAGATGTAATTAAAGTTTTGCGTAAATTTCAGGCAAAACGCGGTTGCGTCACGGCGTAGTCCTAGACCAGCCAACCTGACCCATTATGCAAGGGTTTGTTTGAAAAGATTGAAGCTTTTTTAAACAAAATGTACCATTTTTTTTCAAATTTGCTATGTTTTTCTGTCAAGTTACCATTTTTGCAGAATTCTGCCAGAAATCAGCAAAACAAATATCCATTGTGTCAAATTTTCTGTCAAACTCGCTTTTTAACAAAAAACAACCTGTCAAAGTTAGCCGAAAATCGGCTAAAACAGTCAGCCTGAACAAAATGTCAAACAGGAACACGCATGGTAACATAATACTCTCTATATACATGTATAAAACCCATTATAAGGCCTGATACTTTTCAAGGTCAAACCGACACTTTTGCGGGTCAAATAGACACTACTCCGACTCGATTATCCGGTTCATTTTGACTCTGATACCCAGGCAAAGGTGTCGATTTTGACCAAGAAAAGTGTCAATCTTGACCTAGAAAAGTGTCAGTCTTGTCCCTGAGAAGTGTCAGGCCAAAAATAACCCGGATTCCGGAGTTTGAAATTAAAGGGAACATGCAGTCCAACATTTTCATGGCGTATTTTATTTTATATATTCATTCATGTATGTGTATTAAAAGTAGAGTCCATCATTTGCAGCCATCCGAAAAGTAACTGGCGTAATTATTGTTGAAAAAATAACTTGGTTGAAAGATAGTAAGGAGACTAAACTCCCTGTGAAATTATTCTTTCTGGGAAGCTGTCATTTTGAAGTAATCAACGAAAGAAGGCATTTCCAACGGTGATTCTTAAGAAGCACCGTAGGAAAATTTAAATTAGTAGTTCGTTTTGTTATTCAGCGCAGCGCGCACAAGTATTCGAACGACGCACACGCGCGCGCGGTTGTTATAATTCGTCGGATCAGTGCGCGACGTCGCGCGTATAGTTGCAATTCAAAACAATTCAAAACATGATTCAGCAACTTTTGATTTGAAATTGAGATCTTAGAATGCTGTTTTTCTCGGAATGTACAGCTGAAGCTTAGCTGAAACTTCATCAGGTTAGTTGCTTAGTATCCTTCATTAGATTTTGAACTCTTTTGTTGCTTCAAACGAACAAAATGCACAAATTACAAATGATGGACTTTACCTTTAAATAAGGGAATAAATGTGTGCTCCGGAGGTTTTTATCACTCTGTTTAATACCACTTAGAGTCTGGGTGCTGATAATTACCCAAGCCGGAGGCGAGGGTTATTATCAGCACCCAGACTCAAGTGGTC